CATTTCTGAAGAAGGGTCTAGGCCCGAAATGTCAGCCTTCCTGCTCCTCTGATGCTGCTTGGCCTGCTGTGTTCATCCAGCTCTACACCTTGTTATCTCACTTCCTCTCCAGGTGCTGATTTCCCTTTCTCAGCCATTTCCTCCAGCATAGCAGTGAAGCAGCTGACTTTAAATGGTATTTCCTAATTTGCAGTGTTTGAACTGGTGCACAGCAAAGGTTTAAAGCTAGCACCTGCAGCATCTATGCCAAAGATCCTGGCGGTGGTGAGCAATTCTCTCTCTACATAATTCAATGAGAAGTGCACTGTGGAAGCCGGATGCATAAGTAAAGAAGTAAACAGACGAAGACTGTGTGAGAAAAATTACCATGTGCCATTGAAACTGACACAGCCAAAATATGGGAAGATAGCAAGAACTGCAGATGCTGGAGTCAGAGTCAATACAGTATGGAGCTGGAGGAATATAGCAGGTCAGGCTGCGTAAGAGGAGCAGGAAAGTTGACGTTTTGGCTTTCCACCCTTCACCAGTCCTCTTTTACTTCCAGTAAACCCAAAAAGTTGACTTTCCTGCTCCTCTAATGCTGCTTAATCTGCTATGTTCCTCCAAAATATGGGAAGATTCAGCCTATAAAGTTTGAGCAAATTAAGGGGGAAAGGTGGGAAGAAGAATAAAAGGGATAGTTTGTGATAGGGCAGAGGAAAGGAGAGATTAAAATGACAAAGGTTTCATGGTGAAAAGCCAAAAGGAGTAGTAATGGGACAAGAAACAAAAGGTGTGCCTAGGGGAAATATGAATGGGCAGGATAGCAGTCATCCAAATTGCAAACTTAGAGGATTTAAGAAAGAAATGAGAGAGAAAAATCAGTAAAACAAAATTAAACAAAATTAGGGCAGGGGTTAAGGTCTACAGTTTTTGAACACAATATTGAGTCTGGAGGCTATTAAGTGGCCAGTCTAAAGATGAGGTGCAGTTCCTTAGACTTGTATTGAGCTTCATTGGAACACTGCAGAGGGCCAACACAAAGATCAGAGAGGGTGTAAGGTAGATGAATTTGTACAGTTTTTTGTTACCCTTTTTTTTTTCACTTTGGGCAGAACTTTATGTTTATCTGCATCACATTTTAGCTGCTTGTGCAGTGAACTCACATATTTTGTTTGTTTAACTCAACCTATAATGTCTGGACCTGCTATTCGATTTCCACTACAGCTCCTGGTTTGGTGGAATTTATAAATCTTATCAGTTTCAGTGGAGTTTCTTAAGTCATTAATGCCTATTAGAAAAATAGTGGTCCCAACTTTGAACTTTTTGATATTCCGCTAACTACTCACCTAATGAGCATTACTCATCTGTTGTTTTCAGCACTCCAGCAAATTTCTCATCCATTGCTGAGTTTTTGATCTGAACTCCCACAGTTTTAACTATTAATTTTATGATGTAATTTAGCAAATACCTTTTGGTAGTCCAGTTGCATGTGGTTGAGGGCTTGCAGTTTGATGTCCTAGTTAGGAGCTGAGTTAAATTTTGGTAATTTTTGTGCTTTCTTAAAAAGTGTTAATGTTGGAAGATACAGAAAATTAGTTATTCAAATGTAGATATTGGATTGCAATACACAAAACATATCCCACCAATTTCAAAGCTTTTT